CTCCCACCTCCCTCTCTTCCTCCCTTTCTTTTAGGTACTTATCTTTATATTTTGGTACTGTTTTCCTTAAAAACCCAATTTTCTAGTGAGCAATGAATGAATAGTGGTTTCACCTCCCCTATTTTATTGTTTTGTTTAAATCTTGAATTCTTTCCTGCTGTCATGCGCGTTGTCACAGTGAATCTCGGGTCATCCTGGAGGGACCAGCAGAGAGAACTTGGAGAACCAGTTCCGGGGGTTGTTGATTAACCCGGCAGTGAGGATGCTGCTGACCAAGGACATCCTATCTTTGATACCCTAATAACTTACTTTTATTACCATGTCACTTTCTTCAGCTCTTGTTTTCTCATTTGAAAAACTGAGATAACAACATCTGTATATCTACCTGCAAGAATTTAGTAGGATCTTAAAAAGATTCTCCACACATTAGAAAATGTTGAGGCATGTAGCTATTAAAAAATCATGTTGAGATGTGATTACCATCATTGGCAATTTGGGGGCAGTTATTTTAGAAAGGATTTAAAATGGTGATTGCAGTTTACCCACTGTTTTTAAAACTTGAATGATCAGGATAATATACATGGCAGGATTCCAAGAACTCACCAGTTTTTTGGTTTACCTTGATGGCCCTCTATGATGGCCTACCCTAAATCGAAAACGACAATCTTTTTCTGTTATCAGATCGCAGAAGGAATGGCATACATCGAGAGGAAGAACTACATTCACCGAGACCTCCGAGCAGCTAATGTCCTGGTCTCTGAGTCACTCATGTGCAAAATTGCAGATTTTGGCCTCGCTCGAATAATTGAAGATAACGAGTACACAGCAAGGGAAGGTATGTTCCCCTAACGACCTTTAGGTGTTTCATCAATGTTTAGCTTTATTTTGTTTCTGTCTGTTTTTAACAAAGCAATTACAGTAGTCATCATTTAAAAAAAGAACTCATTTGGTAAAATATTCAAAATATACCATAGTTGCTGTTTGTGATTCCATTCTTGTAATTGTTTTAGAAAATTACTCTCTTCATTAACTCCACATGATACTTTTATAATGTTTACAAATGCTTTATTTGTATTTCAATTAAGCCAAGGAAAATAAAAAGAGATTTAGCAAGGTCGAGATTCTTTGTTTATATTTTATGTTAGAGCTTTTCACCCAAACAGTAAAGTACATGTTCCTTAGCTACTGTGTAGAGAAAACTCTTGTAACAATAATTTTATATTCTATATTCTGACCTTTTAATTACCAATTAAAACATGGAAATTATTACACACATAGATGTAAATATAATTCTACAAAAAATACACTCCTTTATTTTCCCACATTGTATATTATAAACGTGAATCAAAAATGCACAGAGAGGTGTAAATCTCCCAGTCCCTGGCACATTGCTCTGTGGCCAGGCCACGTCTGGGGCTGCACCAGCCTTCACTGTTGGAGACTCATCCATGTTACTTATGATCTGAGAGCTCTGAAGGTCTCACTCACAAAAGCTGAGTGAATATTTTTGCAGGGCTTTCTCTCTTCCAAGCACTTTCTTGACATTCCTAAGAGTTGTTAAACAAGGATTATTTTCCTTTTAACTACATGTGTTATTTCTGGAAGATATCCACAGGACTTGCAGAGGTGACAAGCAGATTGAAACAATCATTTTGATTTGGTTAGCATCTCTTGTGCTCATCATGTTTAAGGTGGTTCTCCTGCCTCAAGCTTATGTTCTCTTATATGGGTTATTACTTGTTCTTGGCCTTAACTATCCTCAACAAAATGGCAGGTGCAGGAGAACAGTTTGAGGGAAAGGAGTTTAAAAAAAAACAAAAAACAATAGCTAAAGTGTAGTGAGCATTTGCAGCATGGCAGGCACTATTCTAAGTACTTTTTGTATATTATCTCATTTATCTTTACAATAACCCTATGTGACAATTATTATTCCTGCCTGATAGATGAGGAAAAGGAGAGGTTTGGCAGCTTCGGAGGTCCCATAGTAAGTGGTAGAGCCCGGATTCAAACCCAGGAGACCTAGCCTCAAAGTACATGAGCCTTACACCTGAAACTAATAAAAGATAATTTTTAAAAAATGTTTAAAGTACATGAACTAGAATTTATTCCACTGGTTTTGTTGAATTTCACAAACCTAGATTCTTGCAAAAATACCTGTTTTGACACGAGATAGGTGGTTTAGAGTAGAGAACTCAAGAGTCTAGAATTAAAGAGTAAGAATCTCCGGGCAACAGTAATGTTATTTACTTTTCACTGGTATTTACACTGTGCTGAGCACGCAGATCAGCCCACTTAACCCTGACAGCAACCTGGGGGAGGTTCTGTTATTTCCTCATTTTACAGATGAAGGTGCCAAGCAGGCACAAAGACAGTAAGTGACTTGCCAGGGCCACTCCAAGCTGGAATCGGCAGAGCCTGAATTCAAACCCCAACTGGATTGTGCAGACGGAGCCCCCAACCATGGCCCCGCCCCACCCCTGTCACTGCTGCCTCTCTGGCAGGTGGGCAGGGCATTTAATGCCAGAATGTGTGACAGTGAATGCCCCTCCGTCCCTTACCCCCTCCACCGCCACACACACACACACACACACACACACACACACACACTATAGCTGCTCCACCAGGCCTTCTGCTATTCTTATTGTTCTTATTTGGATTTTCAATTTTGATCTGACATTCCAAAAAATTCTAAAGCAAAGACATAATGAAGGCAAATACGTTTTTAAAATTTTTAACTGGTTGGTGGAAACCCCTAGCCTTTCCAGGATATAGTAATGTCTGGTCTGAGTCCCTGCTTTCCTCAATGTAACCCTGGAGTCCCTCAGGCCAGGTTTGCCTCTCATGTGACCCGGTGGCTAGGTGTCCCTTCGCCTCACCAGCTCCTCATAAGAAACCTAGTATCATCGCTGTCTCATTCTGGGCAGATCATCATCCTACTCAATTCCTAAATGTGTAGTAATGTTTAGTCCTATCAAATGAAAGCATGAGACACTGAAGTTTAGAGTAGCTTTGAAGTTCCTATTGGTATGGGCTTAAAGATATTTAGCCACAAGAATATACACATCAAGAGATATTTATATTCCATAGAAACATTGTATGGGTTCATTAGAGAAAATCTGAACACTAAAGATATATACCGGGGGTGCCAAAAAAATGTATGCAAGTGGACACCTTGGTCAACGTTGCCCAAGCAGTAGTTCGCCATAATCAGAAGTATCTGGACACTGATGGTAACCACCTTGTGCACCTCTTGTAATTGCAGAAGTCAAATGTGACTTGTATTCATTCATCTTTTGTTATCGGTATATATTATTACAATTTTAATAGTTTTTTCTTTCTTAAAATGTGTATACATTTTTTTGGCACCCTCTGTATACTATATATGCTGTAAAGGCTGGTGTGAAGGGACAAATATACAAGCTAAGAATAAATGCCTTTTTAGTCTGTGTCACATGCTTTTATGTTTAAAGTGGGCTAGTTAAGATATCTGGTAGAAGACACAAAAAACTTTGCTTCTTAATAGGGGAAAATGCCCAAAAGGAAAACAGAAGAGGGAGGCAGGCATTTTAAGTGTAATATTTTGTACCATCTCTATTTTGTGCTATGTGTGTGTGTTATCTATTAAAAAAAAAATAACATTTTCTCAAAAAGAAGGAAAGTGTGAGGGTCACATGACCATGACTTTTTGTTTCAGCTCAGAGGCCCAACTAAGATCCCTGTGTCTTCTTCCTTAGGTGCCAAATTCCCCATTAAGTGGACAGCTCCAGAAGCAATCAACTTTGGGTGTTTTACTATTAAGTCTGACGTGTGGTCCTTCGGAATTCTCCTGTATGAAATCGTCACCTATGGGAAAATTCCCTACCCAGGTATCCTTCACTTACCTATTTCCATTCAAATGGTATGTGTGAGAAAAAATACCAAAGGCATGAAGCATTAAAAAAACCCAGCAACTAAAAAGTAACCATATCCAAAAGCTAAGAGTAAGCTCCTTGCGCCAGAGCTTGATTTTAACTATCTTTAGTAGAAAGTGTTCTAAAATATACTTAGACACTTCTCTGCCTTCTTATTGGATTGAGCGCATATTCCTTTCTTCACTAATTAATTCCACCACTTACTTCATGCCTAGAAAGTGCCTGGCACCATGTTGCAAATCTGAGGGTAGATTAGAGGGTTAGACACAGGTGCAGCTGCTAAGCTGTGAACCTGAGGACACAGACATACAAATGGGGATTTACAGTGCTTTTTGGTTCATCCTGAAACAGGTTTATAGAAAGTATTTTGGAGTGTCTGCCCCTTCAAGGAGCAACCACCCGTGTTTATCAGTGAAAGATCGCTTACTGGATGTGAGGACAGCTTTCGGTATTTCCAGACCCTAACACCTGCAGCCCTTGGAGCCAGATTCTGCCAGCCCTCCCTTTCTCCCAAAGCCTTCACACTCTTATTAACGATTGCCTTTTTACAACATTGATCGATAAAGCAAATTTAAAATTACATCTTTAATGTTTAAATCATTCTCTCATTCAAAAAATATCTGAGGGTGCCAGGCACTCTCAAGGTACCCGGATACAGCAGTCAGAGCTCCTGCCCTTGAGAGCTAATGTTCTGGTAGGGAGAGATTGACGACAATCAAATAGAGGACAGTCTGTCGGATAAAGTACACTCTGGAGAGTGTGTGAAGTGGTTTAGGGATTAGCAGGAGGAGAGGGGGAGGGCTGCTGGTTTTATACAGTGAGGGACTCTGACATGACATGAGCAAGGGAGCCGTGGGGTTGTCTGGGGGCTGAGTGTCCCACAGGGGAAACAGCCCGTGTATGGGACAGGGGCAAGAATCCACGTGGTTTGGGCCTCAGTGAGAATTGGCTGAATGAAAGACACTCCTAGGCCATTTAATCTCTAAATCATCTCCACGATATGGATGAGAAAGTGGGTGGTGATAGAGGTGGAGACAGCCTTGGAGTTGGGATGGAGTGGATGAGAGGGCCCTAGAGGCCACAGGAGACCTTTGCATTTTTCTCTATGTGATCTGGAAGCCATGGGAGGCTTTTGGACAAAGTGGCAATGTGGTCTTCCTCACTGCCGTTTGGGGGTGAGCCCCAGAGCTGGGAGTAGAGGGCCAGCTGGAAGTGGGGAGCCTTTGGGTAGTGCCTGCACAGTGGGCTGACTCTCCCATGAAATCCCCTTTATGCCGACATTTCATATTCTGACTGCTGCTCTGCCCTAGACACTGAGTTAATGAATAGCACTACTATAAAGTAGGGGAACTATTTCTTGATCAACCCTGATGTCTGACATTATATATCTATATCTATATCTATAATCTGTATCTATCTATGAAGAAAGATTATATATTTAGGTTATATATATATAACCTGATCAAATAAACATATCACCTCATGAAACGATGTTCTGTGATATGTATGACATGCTCCACTGTGATGTACAGATGAGTCCCCTGAGGCTCAGAAAAGGAGACTTTTGCCCAGAACTATGTCGCTAGCTCCTGACAGAGCTGCTTCTGAACCCTGTGCCCGGGTGCCTCCCAAGACCTCACTCTCACCCACTGTACTCAATGCCCAGGATCTGAAAATATTTGGGGTGAAAATCATAAAAAATATAAAAGAACCATTAGAAAAATGGTGAGAGTCACACACACACACACACACACACACACACACACACACACACACTACAGTAGGACCAACCAGAAAGCATTGACTTGTCTGTTCCCCATACAAAGCTCTATTCCCTCTTACAAAGCTCATCCTTTGTAAGAACTAGGGATGTGACATATCTTCCGGAGTTCTCGATTGAAGAGGTTTTCCAGTCACAAGAGTTGTATGTTACAAGAACCTCTAGCATTAAGGAATGTGAACACAGCAAACAACCCTGTTTACTTAAGTCTCAGAGGACTCAATTCACAGATAACATAGAAATTGGTGAACATTGCTAAAACATGCCACGTCCTTCCCTGTTACAAAACTGCTCATGGGAGAGAACCCACTGATGACTGAATTAGCTAAGAATACTTTCTTTCCCTAGAAAACGGCTGGATATGTTAAGGTTTCTTTTAATGGTTTAGAAGCTATATGTCTAGCTTTGCAAAATAAAAAAGGAATGAAATAAAGTAAGGGAAAAAAAGAAATAAGAAAGCCCCATATAAAGTGAACACTTATTTTTAGAGGGAAAAAAACTAAAAAGGGTAGTATATCAAAATGTTACTATCCTTGGGCAATGAGATAATAGGTTATATTTTCTTCATAAGTTTTGGAAGTTTCTAATTTTTTACAATTATGTTTTTATTAAATATTTTAATACTTGTCTAAGACATACATGCACATGAAAAAAATCAGGAAGTGCAAAAAGGCTTCTGATGAAAAGTTGCCTCTCTGGCCTCCTGCTTGCTGATGCTCCTCAAAGACATCGCTGATTTTGCTGCCCTTAGTTCTAGATATTATTATACTCATACTATTATTTCTTTCTTTTTTTTTTTTTAAAGATTTTATTGGGGATTTGGGGGAGGGGAACAGCGCTAGGGAATCAGGGAAGGGGAACAGACAAGTTGCTGTCCTTTTGTTCTTCAGTCTAGTTGTGGAGGACGTCGCTTCACTGGCCCATGTTGGTGTTATGATCATTGCGCTCTTCCCGGCTGAGGCAGATCGGTCGCCGGCCATCGTACGGCGGCTCACACAGCAGCTCACGCCGGCTGCTGGCCACGCACAGTAGCTCACGGCAGCCCACTGCAGCCTATGCTGTCGCCAGCGAATCACGGCAGCCCAGCTCCAGGTCGAGCTGTTGTTCACCATTTTAGTTGTAGAGGGTGCAGCGTCACTGGCCCAAGTGGGATCCAAACCAGTGGCCCCACTGCTCAGAGCTTGTGCTCCCAAGCCAATTCTTAACCAACAAGCCAATCGGCCGGCCCCTATTATTTCTTAAGTAAAGTTTTTTACCCTAATTTTATTTTATTAAAGAAGAATATGGTCACGTGGTTATAAATTCAAGAGATACAAAGTGGTATATGGTGAAAGCTGTGCTTTTCACCCCATTCTCCAGCCACCATAGAAAAACCTTCTGGGAATACAGGAATAAATTATACAAGTCTGTCAATAAAAGTTACTTATTAAGATTCTAGTAGTCCAATACTATCTGTATGGGAGTATAGTGTAGGAGTGTCATTTTGCATTTGCAGTCCTACTCATTTGAATAGATACTTTGAGCAGGCACTTCTAATACCATGAACTTCTGTGCCCATCAGAATATAATTCAGGAGAATACTTTTTGTAGCATGCTTTCTAGAAAAAGGCTGTGTACCTATTAATTATATTTCAGGCAAATCTCAAAAATCCTTGGTCTTCAATTACTGTTGGTCCATTTCAACAAATTTTTGTTGTGTTTTAAAATTTTTTAGCCCCCATAGACTCAAAGCCATGACGAACTGTTCTCTTCAAGCATTTCCGTGTTCTCCTTGATGAGTGAGCACTGAATAAGTAAAGGTGGTTTATATCCCCTTGTTGCTGTGCATGGCTTTGGAGTTTGTCCTTATGAAAATCTGAGACATCAAAGTTAGTATTCTGTTTCTAATTCCGACTTGGAAAATAGAACACATTCCCAAATAGGACTTTTTCTTGAGACGCTCATGACCTAAATAAAATTAAGTAGTTTGATAAGTACAATTATCAAATTTGCTTATGTTATGAATGCTAAAACAAAAACCACTTTCACCTAGAATTTTAAAGAAATCCTTCCACTGAGCCCGCCTTCTGAAGTGGCTGCCAAAGGCTGATGGCTTCTGAAGCTGCCCTCTGTCTAGGAGCTCATTTCCTCGATGGAAGAACTCAGGATTTCTCTTTATCCCTGAAATTTCATGACAGTGTACTTTCATCATTTTTATGTTAGGCTGGGTACTTGTTTTGTCTTTTCTATTTGGAGACTTATAGTCATAAATTCTGAGAAATTTTCATAGATTGCTGCTTTGAAAATTTCCTCCTTTCCATTTTCTGTTCTCTTTCTGAGTCACTTGCTGGTAAGATGGTAGACCTCTTGGAGTGATTCTCTGAATCTCATGTCTACTCTTCTGTCCCTGTCATTCTGTCCTTCTGTACTACCCTCAGGTTTCCCTTGGGCCTCTGGACCACCAGGCTTACTTGTCAGCACTCTCACAGGTCAATATCTTCAGGTCTGTCCTCTGGGTCCATTTAGTTCCTTCAGAAGAGAATCTTTCAGGCCTTGCCTGTGGTGTACGAGCCTGCCTGTCAGCATCCTGGAAGCTCACTGGAGAGGGTGCATCAGTGTCTTTTCATTTTGGTATATTTTTATTGTGGTAAAATACACATAGAATAAAATTTACCATCTTAGTCATTTTTTTTTTTAAAGATTGTATTGGGGAATTGGGGAGGAGAACAGTGTTGGGGAATTGGGGAAGGGGGACATTGTGGTTTTCCAGGACCCATCAGCTCCAAGTCAAGTTGTTGTCCTTCAATCTTAGTTGCGGGGGGCGCAGCGCAGCTCCAAGTCCAGTCGCCGTTTTCAGTCTAGTTGCGGGAGGCGCAGTGCAGCATCCCATGCGGGAATCGAACTGGCAACGCTGTGACTCAGAGCTCGCGCTCTAACCAACTGAGCTACCCGGCCAACTCCCATCCCCACCTTAGCCATTTTTAAGTGTATGGTTCCATGGCATTAAGTACATTCACAGTGTTGTGCAACCATCACCACCATCCATTTCCAGAACTTTTCATCTTCCCCAACTGAAACTCTATACCCATTAAACAATAATTCTCCATTCTCCCAACCCCCAGCCCCAGTAACCTCAATTTTACTTTCCGTCTCTGTGATTTTGACTACTTTAGGTACCCGTGGAATCAGACCATCCGAATTTGTCCTTTTGTGTCTGGCTTGTTTCACTCAGCACAATGGCCTCAGGGTTCACCCATGTTGTGTCATGTGTCAGAAGTGTATCGCTTCTTCACGTTCAGCCTTTCTTCTCACTCCCAGTCGTCCATCCCACACTTTACCCCACCTCCACTGGGCCTGGTGTTCCTGAATGTAGAGTTTCTCTCCTTCAGTTCCTGCAGCGTTAACCTGGGGCACCTGCCAGGCAGGCTGTAGGTACAGTCCTGTCTGTAACCACCGACCTCACCCCTTCCTATGCATGCGTGGTAACTCTATGGGGAAGCTCCCCAGGTGAAATTGGTGGGACGAGACATTTTGCCTGTCCCTTTTTTGCAGGCACTGTGGTTTCACGTTCCTCCTCTTGGCTCAGACCACTTCTGCCTCTGGCTGACAGGTGTCTCATGGTTTCATCAGAGATAGAATTTAAGTTTCTGTTTCTTGTTCTCTTTTTGTTTGGGGATGAATTAGGGGAATAAAGGAGATGGGTCAAAGGTCCTTACTTCACTATCTTAAAAGCAAAACTCTACTAATCTTATTATATGAATTTTCTAAAGAAATTAGAGGGGATCTTTGTGGTTAGGGTTTTGTTTTGCTTTGCTCTTATAAAAAGGAAGGAGGCTTGAAAATGACTATGTTTTTCTGAAGCATTATGTCTTTTCTAGCTGTGTTTTACCACATACATGTAACATCTTAGTTCTATATGTGAATCAGAACCAGGAAACTCATCCTGCTGCAAATGTTCATCACCTTGGTCACAAGCAGTGCTCAGAAAAAACGAATTTGCCCTTTTGGAAGTATTATTGGGTGGGAGACTGCAGTCCCATGGTAGCTGGTACCTTCTCCCTCATACACACAGAAGGCCCCGTAGTCTTCAAAGACTGTCATGGTTCCTGGAGCTACGAGGCTTCCGTGTCCTGTCACTAACCCCCTCTTCCTTTCTAATTTCTGCTGTACTTCATTTTTCTCCTTCCTGTACTCCTTCACCAAATTTTAGTCTCTGCTAATTCTTACCCACTCCAGATATCACTTCCTGCCCCCTGCCTCCTTCTCCTGGGGGCGTCATCCCCACCGGACTGTGTGCCACTGGAGGACAAGTCTGTCATAATCATCCTTGTATCTCTCAGAGCTTAGTGCTAGCTAATGACCCATAGTAAGTACTCAATAAATGCATGTTGAAAGAATAAAGGATGGAATATGAAAGTGCTTGCCTTTTAAGATCACAAGCCAATGGGTGTTTGCTGTCTTTAACCTAGCAACAGACCAATTACCAAGTATCAGGCTTAATCTTAGGGTCCGGTTGGGGTCTGTTTCCCATTTTCTTTCTTCCTTCCATAAGATTTGTCATTTAGTGGCCTTGTTTTGTTCATTGGTTTCCTTGTACATAAAATGATACACTTCAGATTTCATTCTTTTTATTCCTCTTATCAGAAAAGGTTCCCCACGCAGGATGGAGCACGCCTACATGATTGAGAGAGTTCTTCAGTGTTAGGAGTGCATAAAAGAACAAGGAAGAAAAGTTTGCAGTAGAACCAGGGGATCTTGGAAAGGTTTATCTTCTGTGGGAACATTATGACATTTTATACATTTGGAGGTTCCCCAGGAAGGAAGTGAAAAAGATACGCCTAACCAAGTTTGCAGGTCCAGCTGCTGTTTCTATGGTCCTGAATATTAGTCCTCTTACCAGACAGTCACATAACCCCCATATAGAAATAAACACAGAGATTTCTTCTGAAATTTATCCAAGTGAGCTTAGCTAGTTACAAGAGGAAGGGCAATGCCAAAGCCACACAATTTACAGAGACCAGAACTCCAAATAAAGAAAGTGGTGCAAATCAGCCTCTTGGCCTCAAGCAGTGAGAATCAAATTAAATCTTCCAGTTAGAGCATTCCAGTTACACAAATATTTGAAGATAGTATTTCAGAAATAGACTTGAGCAAAATTAATTTACCATGTAAACAACTTTCAAGAGATCTTAACAATTACAAAGTTGGCACAGATCTGTCAATTTCAAAACCAAGGACACTTCCAAGACAGAAACAGTCATGTCTTCTTTCAGGGGTTTAAATGCAGGCAGGGCTCTTCAGTCACTGTGTCCTTAGAAGAAGTAAGGTTAGGTAAGGGCAGAGTTCAGAGGTCACTGATCATGACCTATGGTAAGAAATATACAGAAACCCATGCTGACTTACTATGTACAGATTTTTTTTTTTTTTAGCTGAATTATCCTGCCATCTGTTGGCAGCTCAGCAGCAGCTCAGCTCAGGCCAGGAATCAAACCGGCGACCCTGTTGCTCAGAGCTCGCACTCTAGAGCGAGCTCTTAACCAACTGAGCCACTCGGCCGCCCTTGTACAGATCTTTTTTATTCTGTTATAATCTTTTCAAGTACTGGTAGCAGCATAACAAGTGAATTTGTTGATCCCAAATGGGTGGTGACCTATAATTTGAAAAACACGGCTTAGAGAATAAATTCAAAAGAAGGTTCTGTTCCAAATCTAGTAAAAGGTATTTTTCCTAAAGCTTCTGCTACCTTTCAGAATATTTCCAGTGAGCACTAAAATGTATGGCTATGGAAAGGAGACAGGTGTGATGAATGGAGTTCCTCATATGCCAAATAGTGTCAATTGTACATGAAAATATTCTGCATGAAATGCAGCTCTTCTGTAGAGGAGTCCATATTTCAGCAGAAAAAGGTATACATAATATAGGCAAAACATACAGATGTGTAGGTGCTGCTAAAATTCTACATGAGCACATTTCTTTACCACATTGTAATAATGGAGGAACTTGTTATTTAAATGATCTTTTTTTTTTCCTTAAAGCTATTTCAGCAACAAAGATCAAAGTTCAGCTTCTGAACTACCTTGAGACATTTGACCAAATTAAAAGCCATCATCCATTAGCAATCCTCTCACAGAGCTCAGTAGGAATAATGAAAACCCTAATTCCCTCACGAAGTGTTGAGAAGACGCACATTCCAGAGTCAGTGTGAGCTTTGACTCTGGTCTGCTGAAGACTGGAACAATTGAATGACTGGGATATAATCAGTTGATCTAGTTGATTTAAGGATCCTGAATTCTTTAAGTAAACTTAAAATGAAAAGCTGATTTAAAAAAAAATATTGGTATGAGACAAATAAATCTATGTGCAAATGATTTTTTGTAGATGTATTATAGGTAGAAGCTGAAAAAAATACTACAAAAGAAGTTGATATTAAAGGTTAGGACTGGGCTTGAACGGTTCATTCAAAAGGTCAGTCAAGTCCAATATCCTTTTGTCATGAAAGACAACTTGCTTTGTTTTCTACTTACCACATTTGCCTGTTTACACTTTGGCAAACTAAATTTTGTCTTGATCCCCTTCATACTAAAATTTATATTATTTAGTTGCTTATGGAAATTTCCTTAGCCTTCATATCAGTTTTCCATAACAAAATGCCACAGACTGAGTGGCTCAGACAACAGAAGTTTATTTTCTCAGTTTTGGAGGCCAAAAGTCTGAGATGGAGGTGTTGGCAGATTTGGTTTCTTCTGAGGCTTCTCCTTGGCTTGTAGATGGCCATCTTCTCACTGTGTCCTCCCACAGCTTTTCCTCTGCGTGTGCATCTCCGGTGTCTCTGTGTCTTGATGTCTTCTCATCAGGACACATATTGGGTTGGGCCCACCCTAAACGTCTTTTTGAACTTGATGAGCTCTTTAAAGGCTTTATCTCTAAATACGGTCAACATGTGAATTTGTGGGGGGCAGGATTCAGCCCACAACAACCGTTAGAGCTTGCTTCAGTAATGGGTGCAGGATACGGGTAGCAAAAAGACCACTGCAATGCAAACTCTTCAGCCAGGTTTCTAAATGGTGTGGGGTTTTTTTGTTGCTGTTTTAGGGAGAACTAATGCCGATGTGATGACGGCGCTGTCACAGGGCTACAGGATGCCCCGCATGGAGAACTGCCCAGATGAGCTCTATGACATCATGAAAATGTGCTGGAAAGAAAAAGCAGAAGAGAGGCCAACGTTTGATTACTTGCAGAGTGTCCTGGATGATTTCTACACTGCCACGGAAGGCCAGTATCAGCAGCAGCCTTAGAACGCCGGACGACTCGTAGCCATTCGCAGGGACTGCTGCCTCATTAAAAAAGAAGCAATAACAATCACTGGTTGCAGTAGTTTTCATGTGCTAAGATCATCTACTGTCCCTGCTTCCCGAAATGAGGCTAAATTACTCAGGAAGAAACACTCTCTACATGGAAAATGATCTCTTCTCATAGGCTGATGCCCACGGCTCTGCTGCTTGGCCTGCTCCCAGCTGGCCATCTTGCTTTCTAGACCAACATCTGAATGCAGCCCTCTGAGAAGGAAACACCTGTTCTATCCAAAAGGCACCCACTTTGGCCTGTTGTTTACAATTGGACGTGTGACTCAAAGGTTCAGAGGGCATTTCTATAAATCCCAGGTAGTAGCAGGACTAAACTCATTTATAAAAGTAAAATAACCAGGAGCCTATCATGGCACTCCTTTGTATTTTCTCTATGCTTTGGCTAATTTGTTTAAAAATTACTAACCCAACATGTTAGATTTTGCAAGTGAAGTCAGAAGCTTAAAAATGTCTTTCTCAGATTTCAGTGATCACCCCTCCCCCTAAAATCTGAGTCTGTTAAACATTTTCCTTCCGTGGAGACTGCTCAGAACCCTCAGACATAAAGCAGCCGCGCTTTTCTGGTCTTGTCCCTGTAGAAGTGACACTTGTGAGTCATGCAAAACTGCTGTGTTCAGTGGTGAACCCCACTGACTGTGGGGCCTTGCCCAGACCTCCCAGGAAAGGAAGAGGAGCCTCAGAAACCACTCCACCTTAAAAAGGACTATTTTTAAACTGTCCGGCTTTTCAGTTCCACAGTTTCCTATATATAGACTTTTGTTGACAGTGTAGTTTGGAAGAACGATAAGATTCTAATCTCTGCGGAACCTCATAAATCTTATAAAACGTAAGAATTTTCTTTATCGCTTCAAATGACTTGAATGTTATTTTAATGATCAAATATTAATTTTAGTTGTACTCAAAGTAACATCGTATTTGGGAGCTATTTTGTGATTCAGCAATCTTTTCTTAATGGTGTAAGATGTGTGTGAGACTATTTATACAGGACATGAAGGAGAATAAGTGACTGAAGAGGCTCCAATGAGCCTCTGTAGGAAGAACACCGGAGATTTGGTTTACTAAACTTTTCTACAGTAAGCTTTGAATAGAAAATGCTGTCACATCATGTTTCACTTATGCTGTCATGTATATACCTAATATTTCTATTTTTTTGATTTTATTTTAATACACCTAGCCCAATAACATCTCAAGCTTTTCACTGTGTTTAACATTTCCGACTATCGTCAACATAAAAATGAGTTCCAGTTGGGAAAATGAGAGGTGATTCCATATAATTACATGGTTTAAAAGATTTGTTCAAATTCTGCCTCCATCAACTGGCATTTTCAGATTGGAGAACTGAGGAATTCATGAGCTGGATGCCTGAATATCGATTATGGGGGCCAAGTAGGATTTGTTTACAATTGCCTTAGCAGGCACCATTAAAATTTCATTTTGTATGTGTTGGCTAGGCATTGGGTGCCTAGGGGAAAGGATAAAATATTCTACTTTTCCCTAAATTTTATCTTCTTTTCCTGTGATTTAAAAAAATAAAAGTCCCTTTAAAAATATTCTAAAATTCTCAGTTCACAAATGCCATATTCACAAAGATAGAATACTGTCATCATTTAATGTCTGTACAGCTAATCACTGATTCTGTGGTAAGTTTTCCATGTACACCCACCTGTTCACGTTTTCTTTCAGAATCACACATATGATCCAACGTGTTACATAAAGAGAAAGTGTAAAGAATCCCTGGAGTAAAAAGAAGTCTCCAGAAAATTACTAAATTGATCTTCACCTTGTTTTTCTTCTCTCGATTCTGATTCCTTTTTGCCACTTTTCATTCTGCGTTCCCTCTCAGCCAAGTATGTGGTGCTTTCCTCCACATGTCCCCATCAGCTCAGCCACGGCACTCACCTTCTGCACGTGCTCCAGCCACATAGTACCCAGGGGACAGCAAGCAGCCTCCTCCCTGGGCAGTAGGATTCCAGCCTTCTTATGGCAAAATGAGGGGCTGAGGAGGTTTTTGTATAATCTTGGGGTCTCCAGTGGTGTGCAGAATGGCTTAGATCACCACATCCCAGGTCATTATTGAGAACTCGAAAACTGAATGCCGACTCCCCGAGACCTGACTCCACTGCCCTGCAGTAAGGGACCAACGTCGCTGTGCTTCAAAAGCTTCCCCGGTGAATATAATGTGTTCTTAGGCCACCCCTCTGCTTTGACCCCTTTTGCAAAGCTATCTTCTCAAAACAGTGCCAGCCTTCTCTTCCCTCAGATGGTTTGGTTTCCCAAGGGAGAAGTAGAGGAGGAAAAAGGAGAAAATGTGTCTTTTTTCCTTTCTGATGAACATGAAGCTCACTGAACCTAAAGTAATAGACTTGACACTGGTGTTTCCAGTTGAAAGGGACACTTGGTGCCTCTGTAGCCCCTCCAAGCATGCCTATTCTATATCCTTTTCTAGTCTAGTCTAGTCTAGTCTATTTTATTCTATCCTATTCTATTCTCTATCCTCTTCTCTCCTATTCTATCTATATCTAGCCTAGTTCTATTCTAGTCATCTATTCTGCCAGAATCCCACTGGAAAGCATACTGCCCAGGCCTTCTTTTAGGGGGAGCTACTACACCCCAGAAGCCTTGACCCCTGTCCAAAAGTGTATAAGGGGTCAATAGAAGGCGGGACTATGTTTATTTACTTACACAGCAGGATCGGTCGAGGGCACGGGGATGTGACTATAAACCGATTTCCAGTGTTGCCCGTGGTCATGGCTTTCCCTTTGCCTTTCCCTTTTCTTGAACAAACGACATGGGGCAGTAGCTGCTGAGAGGTACTCAGCACTGAAGCACCAGCATCCGCCAAGTTCAACTGAATTAAAACAAATGTTCATCCTGTAGCTCGTCTCTGCAGGCCTTATGATTTTAATTGCCACATTCCAAAGCCAGTCGGTTTCTTATGTTCTCAGCCAAGAGCATGTGTCAGATGAGATCACGCCTCCCACCTTTCCCCTTATAACATAGTTTTCTGCTTCTGCCTGGTTGAGTGGAGACTCCATTGCTCTGTCTCCTACCTTTAGGTTAAGTGAAGATGAGTCTTGCCATTCTTCCTGATGGAAATGGTGATTGTAAATACACAAAGGTACACACCCACCATTTTCTCAGTGCTCTCTTTTGTGCTTTGGCATGTTATACAAATGACCTCTTACATAGCAAGCCTTAAAGGTATGGTTGGTACTACCAGTTTTTCACAGCTGAGAAATCAGATGCATTTAAGGCCACAGAAGGAATAGACTGGCTTTTTTTCATGTTACTTCTTTGTGAAATAAAGCAAATGAAATACCTTTGTAATGGAATCTCCCTGACCTCTTAGTTGGGTATTCTAAGTGGGCAAAGGAATTACTTACAAAATGCTCTAGTGGAGTCCACACAGATGTGAGGGGAAATTTCCTCTAGGTAATTTTATTTTTAAAAGAAAGATCATTCAAGAATTCAACTCACCACTCGTATTTTTTAATGCATAGTACACTTTTGAATAACATGCCAGAAAGTTCTAATCTGATAGATGTGTAGGAGAAAAGCCTTCCAATTTAATTTCTTATGTTCTTGTGAATCTAAATACTTCAAATAGAATTGAGTGGCAAAAATGTCACAGGAGTCCCAAGATGGCCACTGTGTAATCTGGGGTATGTATATCCCTTAAACGTGGAAATGATAGAGGCAGTCTTGGTGGCCTTCATCTCTAGGTCCTTGGAAAGGTATTAATCAGAAATAACCTGGATTGGCCAACGTGCAATGTTAATTCAGAACTTCTAGAATCAAAGGTGAATTTATTTATAGCACCAAAAGTAGGGGCCATGTCACAGAGCAAGAAAACCATCTAAATTTTGTTTATTACCCTATGCTGGGCATGGCCAACGAATTCTTAATCCCTCATCTGCTACCCTTCGGGTCAGATGTGTTTGATTTCAGGTGTGTGTGTGTGTGTGTGTGTGTGTGTGTGTATTTTACTTAAAAGGCTAACAGTGAATATACTGAATATTTGGTAGTAAAACCTCAGTGAACACTGGAGAAGAAACCTTTAATCAAGTAAAACATTTCTTCAGAAAAATGCCTGAACTCATACTAAGTGGGATGAATTAGCCTATAAATAACTTTAGGTCAGATTTTGCCACCAAATGAGCTCTAACATAATTTTCAGAGTTTTTTGGATGTTGGAATTGTGGGTAAGGGGATGGATCTGTACCCACAAGCTTGAGAAATGTGCAAGACCTTTTAGTATCAGTGGTGTATCTGATTCAAATGGAGGACATTGGGATTGTGGTTCTCAAAACCCATATTATGCAGGCATCTTCCTAGATGCAAAATATTAATGTCTCTTTAAAACAACATAGTCATTAATATAATCTTTTATCACATATACCTCATGGAGGTCTGACACTTAGCATCTTAAGTTGGGAAAAATATCTAGTGGTATTAGCTGACCGCAAGAGCTACCAGTGTATTGTGGTTGTTAAAATAGTTAAGGAACGCATTGTAATGTAGTAAGCTACATTAAGAGCTCGAAAAATGCCATAAACAACAAGAGATGCTCTTTTATATCATTAAAATGAGACCACGTGGGAGCATTACATTCAATTCTGAAGACTTGATGGCAGATTCTCAAATCTTCACTACCCTGGAAAAGTGACTTTGATGGGGGAGCATGTCAAATGAGGAAGTCTGGGTAGCCTGTGGAAGCCACAGGACAGATGTTCTGATGAGAGAGATAAATGAAATTATTTAAAAACATTTGCTCTGTCAAAGAATTACATTTTGAGTCCTTCTTTGTAAGATTATTTTCAAAGTAGGTCATCATTCCTAATCTTTTTTTTGTCAATGTACTTTAAATAAGATGTTCTGTGGGTTAATAGTAGTCATTCGATACAATGCTTTATTAAACTCTTCCCCAATACAGGAACTGTAGTAGATGTATGAGGGCGTTTCCTCTCAAATTGCCTGCTTTAAGGGGACAAATACAGTGCAGACGTAAGTATTGGGTTGTGGGAAAAGTCATGATGTATTTTTTCTATGTTTTTCATTGCAAAAATGCATCATGTCTTTGCCGACAACCCAATAGATCAAGAAAAGTATTATAAGAGAAAAAATAGGTACAAAATGTGAGGATATTTCTAAGGAGAGAGCACAGAACTGATTATAAGAACAGGCACAGAGATAAACAAGTCTTCATAAATAAGTAACATTAGGGATTGGCTTTGAAGGGACACAGGGTGCTGGAAGTCCAAAAGGAGATTGCAGAGAGAAGTTTCAGCGAAAGGACGCAGCAAGGCAGGAAGTAGGGGCAGAGAAATGCAGGGAGCATCGAAGAACAGAGCCCCCCAAATGGGTAGAATTAGGGCTGTCTTTCTCAAACCCGAGTGTGCACCAGAATCACCTGGAAGGCTGTTATAACAGACCACTGTCCGCCCCTAACCAGGGTGTCTGGCTCTGGGATGTAGGTGTAGGGACCAGAGAATGACAGCTGACCTTCCTGGCGTTGGGCCGCCCTTTGAGACCCACCAGATGTACAGGTGCTCAACAGCAGGGGAACCCAGTGACCCAGGAAGGGGCCACCTCTTGGAGAAAATGTGGGTCCCAGGTGAGGGGTGTGGACTTCATTAGTCTATGCTGGTGGCAGCACCACACTTTTGAGAGTCTCACCCGAGGGAGCACAGCACAGAGCCCTTGCATGGACTGTGGAGCCTCATTGTCTGGCTCCCTTCCCCAGCCCTGCTTACTGTGCTCAGCCACGAAGTGGGGGTGAGAACAATACTCACCTCGCAGGGTTGTTGTGAGGAATAAATGCAGTAATGTTTCATGGACGGACAGGAAAACCAACAAGAAGCTAGTATGGCTATCCCAATGGAGGAAAGATAAGCTCCCAAACGATGCTTGGGCCTGCTACGGGAGACACTGTGGTTGCACCCCCCACGCTGAGACTGGGTTTCTCTAGATTTGGGGTGGGGTGCAGAGATCTGCGTGTGTGTGTGTGTGTGTGTGTGTGTGTTTTAAACAACCTCTGTATCTGGGATTTTGATTGAAGTATTCAAATTCTAACCCTGAGAAACTCAACTAGGGAATTAGATTTTGGAGTTGCCAGTTATGGGTTGAATTGTGATCTTCCAAAATGGGATGTTGAAGTGCTAACGTTCAGTGTCACAGAATGTGACCTTGTTTGTAAATAGGGTTGTTGTTACACATACAACTAGCTAAGCTAATATGACATCATGGGTAGGCCCCTAACCCAATATAACTGGTGCCCTTATACAATGGACCGCATGGGAAGAGATAAAACACACACAAAGGGAAGACTACGTGAGGAGACCCAGGGAGAAGACGGCCATGTACAAGCCATGGGAAGAAGCCTGGACAGCCCTGCCTTCCCAGCCCTCAGAAGGGACCAGCTCTGCCGACACCTTGATCTTGGACGTCTAGTCTCCAGGACTGTGAGACAATCAATTTCTGTTTGTTTGAACCACCTAGTTTGTGATACTTTGTTACAGCATCTGTAGCAAATTAATGCAGCAGACTAGTGAAATTATAAGAATGGCTGATAAAAGAAAAAATTGTGGAAAACAGAAAAATAGGGATAATCTACAGTTAGGAAGAGTTGAGTTGTGCCAGTCAAAAACAGCAAAGGAGGGCTTCTAAGGCAGAAACTAGAAGAGCTAAGATGGTATGTCACCCAGAGTCCAGAGGATGAGACTGGGCAGCAGTGTGTTTTCAGAGTCCAGAGTGCTAACCAGGCAGCAGTGTGTTTTCAAATGTGGGCAAGAACCTTTATTGTGGTGTCTGTGGGAGAGACAGGGCAAGGAGAGCAGGCTTAGGACTGGCTAGTATGAATAATGTGAGCAGTCTGTGTGGGGTGACCCTCGTTGTCTGGTACCTGGTCCTGGGGTGATCAGGGCAGTGACACAGTGGCCCTGAGTATGAGAGCAGATAGAAGAGATGATGGAGGTGTGGGGTCTGGACCGATTGGTTTGCATATGAAAGGCATACTCATAGGGAAGACATTTACTGTCTCTAGCAATCGGCTAACCCTGGGAGGGACCATCCCTCCAGGGTCAGCGAGGCCCCAGATGTCCAAGCATCAGAATACAGAGAAAACAAAGTAAAACCCATGATTAAGACACAAGTGTCAAGGTAATAATAATGTGGAACAGGATAAAAAACAGGGCACAGCAAGGAAGGGTTTTACCATGAAAGGAGGATAAGCTCCCAAAGGACAGGAATCCCACCCCATTGGTGTCCCATCCCCAGAACCCAGAAGAGCCCCTCTAAACCCCAGCTCTTGCTGGAAAGTAGTGGGAGAGAAAGGGTTACAAACGGCTAGAGACCGGTGGCTTAAATAACAGAAATTTATTTCTCACAGTTCTGGAGGGAGGTGTTGAAGATTGAGGTGTTGGCAAGGTTGGTTGGTCTGAAGGCCTCTCTTTGGCTTGTAGACGGATGCCTTCTCCCTGTGTCTTCACATGGTCTTCCCTCTGTGCATGTCTGTGTCCAAATTTCCTCTTCTTATAAGGACACCAGTCATATCAGATTAAGGCTCATTCTCAAGAACTCATTTTAACTTAACTATCTCTGTAAAGGTAACTACCTAACTCACATTCTGAGTTACTGGGGATAAGGACTTCAATGTTTGAATTGGGGGGGGGATGCAATTCATCCATAATATTAATACTCAGTCTCTCAGGAAGTAGAGACTATGAACCAAAGAGGCAACCAGACGACATCAAACTGTACTAGCTGCATAGAGCATAGATCTGATGTTCCTGTTTCCCTAAAGCTAATATCAAAGCCATTCACCCCCACCACTCCTTCTGCAGCTGCTTTGCATCTCCTGGGCCTCGCCAATCTAAAGGCCATTCCAACTGTTCAGAGGCCTGGTTTGCTCAAGACCCACCACTCTTTCAGGTATCCCAGAGCTGTTGAGTATCATCTGAGAAAATGATTTTAAAGTGCATTCCTGTCTACAATGGACTATGTTGGTCATAGTGAGAAAGGCTGTCACCAAAATCACCACCCAAACAGACCAAGTGTTGTGAAGCCAAGTTTATTGAGACCAAAACACCGTGCATGGAGGTGCATGCAAGGGGTGGTCTCCAAGTAGCTGTTGGGTGGGAGTTTAAAATAAGGACCATTTTAAGCCAGAGAGGAGAGGAGGGGATGGGAGGTGAGACATCAGAAGTGAGGAGCAACATTGCTTCCAACAGTCCACAGGTGCCCCAAGCAAGTACCTCGGGGTACCTGCCCCACTGATCCGCAGTCACTTTCCTAAGGCAATCGGTGAGTGCCAGAGGGAGAATCGAAAC